AATAAATAAATGTAAATTATTTCCCCTCCAACACACAAACTCTCAAAAAGAGGAATAGTAGCAGCATGTATCTTTATGGGATAATTCAGGAGCAAAGGAAAATTCATCCCCCTACAATCTTAACTGATTAGTTCTGTATTCCTCATGTATTCTGCCATAGGCATGGAAGACCAGTTTTAACATACACATGTTATTGGGGAGCTTACAAAATAAGCCTTTTGTGAAGCTCAGCAAAGGCTAACTGTTGTGTTTATTATTGACTGGGTTGAGGGTATAGCTCAGCAGCGCAGCACATGGCTGGCAAGCACAGGGTCCTGAGTTCAACTCCAGGTACAAAAAAAACCCAGATGTCACTATATTACCAAACTGGTCCCTTTAATAGAACAATAAATAAGAGATATCAGAGACCAGAGTTAATAACAGTGCTAAGTTGATGCAGTATCAGAAAGCTTTTTCCAAGTGGGTCTTATTGGTCAGAAAATCTACTAATAAGAAAATAAAGTGGGCCTTAAAAAACAACAATACTACATTTGGACATTTGACAGTGAAAGAAAAATCACAGGCACAATAATTTACATTGAGTTTGAAGAAGAAATGAAATACAGAAGGAAGACAAGAAAGAGGATGTAAAAAGAAATGAAGAAAGGGAGAGGAGGAGATGGAGAAGTGGGCTGGCTGCTCTTAGTATGTGCTGCACACCACAAGGCCTCACTCAGATGGAAAGGGGAGGGAACAAAAGCCTGTGTCCCAGCTGTGCTGCTCACAGGTACACGCGAGTCAAATGCCCAGGGAGAGACACACATTCTTAGAGCAGACAGTAGAGCCAAAGCGGGTGACGGATGGAACTGGAGTGCCAGAGACAATCAGCCCTATGGCACACTTATAATACTCACGCAAGAATCTAGAAGTATAAAAGCTATGAAATACAGTTTACAGAAGGACGTATCTTTAATTCAACCTTTTTTTTTTTTTTTCCAGAACATGACAGATACTGGCGGATGTGACCAGGCCTAGTCAGGGAAGAGTAGGGTTCGATGCAGGTCTCCTCACACAAAACAAAGGTTAATTTTACTGAAAGAGCTTTTATTGAGTCACACAGCTTAAATTCCATAATTCTTCATATATCAACCAAGGTAGAAGAAGCCAACTTACTAGATTGTTGAATTAATTTGCAGTGGCTAGAGTGTTTAAAGTTATATGTAACATGCTTTTCTCTTTTCTTATTTTGATATTCTTCTTTCTCATCTTCCTCAGATTCAGAAGAGCTGCTGCTGCTATCATAACTGCTGTCACTGCTGTAGTACTTCTGTCTTTTCATTATCTCGCTGCTCTCTGGCATAGAACACAGAGGCTAAAACAGAGGAGACTGTATTATAATATTACAATTTTTAAGAACATTTATTAACATGATCAGTTACAATTTTTAATTTGCCCTTATGCTTGCTGCTTTTCACTGAAGGCTGAAAATATCCCAATGTGCTATTTATGCCTTTCACTTTAGTAAGAAGAACCAGAGTACAGCAATGCCTCAGTTCACAAACATGTCTATTTGTAAACAACTCAGTTCACAAAACCATTCTGCAAAATTTGCTTCCATTTGCAAACTCTGCACTGGGTGACAAACACGATTATTTTCCCCTAATTCATAAACTGAGGTATCACTGTATCCATGAATGATAACAAAAGGAAGGGAAACATTTGAAAAGGAGTATTAAAGCTATAATCAGCTTTCCCGTTTACCGATAAGTTACTTATAAGACTCAGAGACATACTCTGCGTTCCATTATCCTTGCTGATTATTTATTTGTTTGCTTGTTTGTACCAGGGATTGAACTCAGGACCTTGTGCTTGCCAGGCAGGTGCTTATGCCACTGAACTATACCCCTGACTCCTGCTCTACTAACTTTGAGTCATTCAATAAATGGGAGGTGATAAGAGGATGATGAAAAACAAAGAGAACAAGAAAACAGCAGCCCAAGAAGCCACAAGAAGTTCACAATTAGAACAGACTCATAGCTCACACTTTCACATAATGTGTAACAAAAGCTAAGGTACTCCTGCCATGTCTAGTTTGGTATGAATGTTTGCTTATGGGAGTTAAAAACGGGACTTGGCTTAGTAGTCTACCACTAAGCTACTCCTTGTCCTTGCAGTGAACAGTTACAAAAATTGATTATCCACTTTCCAAACTGGTCACAAACAACTCACATCTCTTCACAGAAGCTTCCTAACTTTGATACACTGATTCTGGCCATAATGGAGTAACAAGTAACACTGCTTTTCTTTGGCAATATTTTGGCAAAGAAAAATGGGAAAATCAATCAGTGCAATATAAATTTTTTAGAGGATAGGCACCATGTAGAAGAGTAAATATGTAAAAGTTTTAAAAATCATGCTGTTGTGTTTCACTGTCTCCATTCACTTGCTTCTAATCATCTTAATCTAAAGTTTGTAAAGATGCCGGCTGAAGAAATAGACACGATGTGGGGCAATCTCTCTTCAGAAAGAAGTGCATAACCAGGATAAAGGCAGTTTTGTAACACAGGCATTTTAAGAAACTACTTGTTTCACACACCATATGCCTCCTATTCCTGCCGGGAGAGGTTTCTACAGTTGTATACTAGCAGCTTGTTCTCTGTTAAATCAAACAAAAATGTTTTGATGTTAGCATACACCATAATGAAATCCTCGTGTACCAAGGGATCCCCCTGAAAGGCGGTATACTCTCCAGTGTAACAGCGTAAGATGAAAGACACAGGAAGAAGAAGCTTTTCGTGAAGTGCCTGGAATACACAGTAAGCCAAAACATGATCATCTTAAAGATGCAGGCTTTGCAAAGGATGAAATATAACCAGAGCAGGGAAGGAATTGAATACACCAAGGTACCAACTTGTGTTTAAACATATGTTCGCCTTTTGATGGTCTAGTATTTACTGAGCACTAACAATATTCAAAAAGATATGCATAAAAACATTTACCAGTAACACAATCATCAAACATTCTGACAGGCTTGGGGAATAGGAACTCTAGAGGGAGCATGTTTCCACAGCAGTTTAGCATAACTGCAAGAAGCAGCGCACCATCGGGCTCCTAGCAGGGCTTTCCTTCATGTGGCAAACAGCTTTAAGAGTTCTTAAGGCGCTTGAATACATAATGAGCTATTTGACCCGATAAAGAATCACAGGGGAACAGGTAACTGAACCTTTCTGTCTTAAGTATTTGGAACCTTCTGACCAATATACTGCTCGAGCAGTATCAGAAGGTCCAGCAGCACACACTCTAAATAGTGCATGGACTATCAAATGGAATAGGGAACCTGGCTTGGAGTTAGGACACAAATGGTACAGTTTACTTTATGTCCAACTTTATCATGAAATAGTATAATTTAAAATACACAAGATTATATACAGAATAATAAAAAAAAGGATCCAGGAACTATGCTGCCTAAGAAAAAGAATATTGCTAATAGTTTATATAGCATTTACTATCTATGTAGCTACACATTTCTTAGAGTCTTAGATAACTGAAGAGTTATTATTTCTCCTAGGACAAATACACATTATATGTAATTCTCATTCTCTCCAATTGTTCTTCTACTGATAAAGAAACTGCATGTCAAGATTTGGCATCCCTCCTAAAAGGAAGGTATCTCAACAACTGGCTGATTTTTGACCCTTCATAAACATAAAGTTAAAAGCTATAAAAAAAATTGATTTCATTAATGTAGTTTCCAGCCACTTGGAAATACTGCTGACTTTAATGTTTACCGGCACTGTCCAATTCATGTGTGATTTGAAGTGACTTCACTTCAACATAAACATTCCTAACTCCCAATACTTTCTTACAATGAGTAAAAAAAAAAATGAAATGTGGATTTTGTCCACTGAATATTATGCTTTTGTTCTAATGACAAGTCCTACATGAGTAAAGCAAAAGAATACGTGAGCGGCTTAGGACTTTCGCCTTTGCCTCTCCGTCATGAACACCATGCCCTGCGATGACCTTAGGTCTGGTGAGCCTAACTGCAAGAAATGACATCCAAAGCTTGCAAACTCCTGAATATTTTCCAAGTGATGCCATGACACTGAAGGTATTCACTTTTATAAATACTCTAAATATGTTTCTTCCAAAGAAATTATCAACTACAGATTCTATGGTGCCTCAAAACAGAATGCATAATTCAGAACAGTGCGTGATACCCAAGTCTCCACAGATACATACTTAAGTGTGACCACCAGTCTCATCTCACCCTCCAAAACTTCCATTTGTGTCACCAAACTTTTCACATTTCTGCAACACCCTATGCAGCATAATGCTTCCATACCTTTCTTTAAAATGTGTTCATTCTATCCTGAATATCCTTCTACTTCTTTTAGCTGTGGAGGACAATGCATTTTTCAATATCCAAGTCAAAGGGCAATATCTCTGCGAAGTCAGCCACGTTCTATTGATTTGTTCTCCATGTTGCTGTAGCACTTTACACTTTTTTAAATTATAGAATTTGTCATGTGATTTCTTGGTTTGAAGGAAACCAATCTATTCCTCCACTAGCCAGTGAAGTCCTCATGGACACATTCAACAAATTTTTCTAATGGATTTTTGGAGCTTATGATGTGCCAGACACCATGCTAGGAACTGGAGATGCAGAGATAAAGATCCACATCCCACCTTCAGAAGCTTCTCATCTCATACTGAAGGACATACGAGAACAACTAGAGCACAGGTGCTCTACAAAAGTGCTACTTACAGCACAGCAGAAGGGACTCAAAGTCTAACTGGAAGAGCAAGGGAAGGATTCACAAAGGCAGCAGCAATAAAGCGAGATTAGTAAGGGGTCTCTACCCCATCCAGCAACAGATAAGTGACTTGTTTTAGTGCAAATACATTTAGAGGCACAGAAAAGCATGAGGATACAATACAGCATGACGGGCAGGACCCAGAGGTAGCTTGGTAATGCCAAAATGTAAAGTAAAAGGAACAAACTGAAAACAAGTTCCTAAGATTCTTCAAATTCAACTGTTTCCTCTGGTATTAGCAAGGACTTTGACATATATTGGAAGAATATATGGATGTCATTACCACAGAAGAGATGCAAGGAAAATGGACCCTTGTTATTTTTCACCTACATGGCAGCTTTTTATTTAATCCTGGGAAAGGTACCTATTTTTACTACCATGCTGTCAGTGTTACCAGGTTAGCCAAAGATGGGGCTCCCTACCAATAAGACTTGCCTTATACCTAGCATTACATGTATCTTTGATGATTATGTCTAATTGGTTATAAGGAAAATTTAATGAGTTTGGAACAGGAGTATCACCAGAGTTATAGGTCCCTGTACCTCATACAGGTTTCTACAACTCTAGAGAGAGAACCAAAAAAATGAAAAGAAACAGAACAAAACCTCTGTTGGGTATAACAACAACACTACCTTTCCAGTTCCTCCTGCACTAGTCACACAGTCCCTACAGTTTCCTGAAAGCACCACTAGCTGAGTGCTATCAAGGAGAAAATCAACCGTACCCAGTAGCACATACTTAGATACTAAAAAAGGTACAGATTAAGCACCTTAGGTCCTCGGTGCCTGGTAGTTTTTCCCATCAACTTTTCATCATCAATTTCGCATTGTTCCAGAAGATCCAAAATATCTTCCTCCTGCAAAAAGTATATTTATAAAATTACAATCACTAGCAGACTCTAGAATTTTTCTAAGTTCATTCATCTCTATAAAATAATGCACAAGTACTCCTGAAATTATTCAGTAAAGACTGTTCAGATCAAAAGCAAAATAAAGTTCCATGGCAAGCTGTGTTGAAGAAACATTCACTAAAATCTGTCAATATAAATAATGCATAGCTGAATCTGTCATACATTATCACAGCATACTATTAAAATTTCAGAATATAGTACTTCAATAAATTACACATTGCACACTAAAAGTTTGGAAGTTCACTCTAATTCTCTAGACTACCATTTCACCAACCTTCCTATACTGATCATAAAATATTAAAATCCCAGATAGAAAACTGAAGATTGCCTATCTGAAATATATAGACTATAGGTGAGAAACAACTGTATCATAATAAAAATATAAATAAGTGAAGTTTTATTAAATATGTTAACTCTATTAAAAGATTTCAGACTCAGCCCAAGACAGTTCCTCTTCACTCAATGGAGTACCAGGGTGCCTACCGCTGAGCCTTGGTTAGACACACTTGACAAAGGAGCTCACTTGGCCAGCATGACAAGGTCAGCCAGCAGAACAGCCAGGAGAACCAGCAGCTTCCAACAGCTCCCACAGCTTCTCCAAACAGCTTCCCTCACAGCCTCTCAAGAGCTGCTCCAGTTCTGCCTCTTATGCTGCTATCAAAGATCCTCAGGTGGGCCCGCCACTCCCAGCACAGGCTATGTGACCTCAGCTAGGTGTAAGGAGTGGCCCGCCAGTTGGCAGTCTACTACACACATCAGTGCTCTTTAATGTAAAATATGCCACAGTAGACCATACTTTCTAGCTGGTTTCACATCCAAGAACAGCACACAACTGCTTGCCTGTTCACGTGAGAAATAAGATTAACATTAAGAAGCATAACTGTGTGTTCTATAGTTTTATGTGGTTTCAACATGACAGTTTGGAAGATTTAAAAAAAAAAAAAAAAAGGGCTCACTTAGAAGCAAACTAGGGCCAGGGAGATAGCTCAGAGGCATAAGTGCCTGGCTGGCAAGTGCAAAGTCCTGAGTTTGATCCTTGGTACCCAAAACAAAAAGAAGCAAAATAGTTGTATTATTTGATTAATAAATCCCATTTAATGAAATACTTTAGAAAATTTAACTACTGCAAGATATTTTTACAGCTTTATGAAAGGCTTCCTTTCTATGGATATAATAGTGTAAATGCCCTGTGTACATTGTCTTATATTCTTCTAGAGTCATTTTGAAGTCAACCAAAAAATTATAAAAGCATAAACCACAGTAGATATTGAAGAAACCAGAGTAACAATTATACAGAAAAAGGTATAATCGGTTGCGTCACTGAGCTCTTCATTCAACCTATAAAAATATCAAAACTATATACTTATGATTTATACTTAAAATTTTCCCTCTATAAAATTTTCAGAAAAAAATCAGAAATCTCACTATAAATTATAGTTTATGGAATAAGTTATTCTTTATCCTAATCTAAGGGAACTTAGCTACTAAAACATCAGAAGAAGGTCGGGGAGAAGACTCAGTAGAATAAGCCCTTCCCTGGCAAGCACAAGGGTCTGAATTCAATCCCCTGTTCTAACAAAAAAACAAAAAATAAAAATAAAATATCAGAAGACCTGTTATGGATTTGATTAAAGACTAATCCTACAATGAATTCTATGGATAGTAACAAGAGACAGCTAAAAATAATCTCAAAGTTCTGCTGCTCTTTATAAGAAGGATCACAACACACAATATTGTACTTTCATTCTAAGAGCTATAAAAAGTCAGATAAACTGAACAACCACATTTTAAAAAATTCAGAACACTATTTAAAAGTAGTATAAAAGAATTAAACACCAGAGAAGGGTAAGTTCTTCCTAAGTGGACAGGGATGAGTGGGCACTTTCTGGTCTAGGGTCCTTGGTCAAGTGTGCACACACAGGGGTAAAAAGCAAATCTATAGTAGACCCAGAAATTCTGCTTGCATGAAGAGAATCCTCCTGAACTGCTCCCTTTTGAAACCATGAGGTACCACCAGGTGTTCAGGCTGTCTCTTCTGGCAAACCAAACATGGGATTCTAGTCCCCAGATGAGTGAAAGAAATTCTGCTTTCCAATAAATTAAGTTACTTTCTTCACGGTAGGCAAGATCAGCAAGAGCCACATTCCTAGCCATGACTACAGAACAGTGGACAAATAAAGAAAGCAGTATGTTTTGTTGGAAAAGATTAACTGATAGACCTTTCATTAGGATAAATTAGAGGGATTGGGGGAGAGAGAGAGAGAAGCAGAGAAAGAGGGCAGGGAGAAGAAGAGAGAAAGAGAGAGAGACAGAGAATTTATGTGTCTGTGTCTTAATTATTCTCATATGCCAGGTCTATGTAGTATCAAGAAAAACACTTCATAATGTTAGTAATATTCCGAAAAGGGAAGGTATCAAGAGCTATTATGTTAACTCAATGACTTTCTTCACCCAGTTACATATATAAATCTATGTCATAAAACATGTTATTGTAATATAATCATATGATATGACACCAAAAGTCTCTACTCCTACATTTGTTCTGTTACAGATCCTACTGATGAAGTCATTTGATTTGCTATGAAATGTTACTAAATATTAAAATGAAAAAAGCTGAAGTGCATCAAAACATGTGTATGTAGGTGTAAGGATGACTGCTATCAAAGGCATAGTGTCTGGGTTCATTCATTTTTCTGTTCATAAGTATTCATTCTCTCACCTTCATTCTTTTCAAAGGATTGTTCAGCTCTCGCTGGAATGAAGCCGCTCTGCCTGAAAGGAATGTCTGAAAGGCAACAGCCAGCAAGTTCTCATACTTTTCAAGTAGTGTTTTATCTTCAGGAGGATAAATTCGTCTACAATAAAATCAGATAGACCAAATTTGTTAAAAAGTGAAGAGAAGAGCAAACCAAGCCCAGGCGCAGCGTGGGTGAGACCCTCTTCCACCCCCT